GCTCCCTGGGCTAATGCGCTTACATGTGACGTTTTAGCTAACACACCACGGAGGCACTTTTCATGCTTCATGATTTGCAGTGAAATGTATTTTTGTTGTTGATAAATTGTTATTGGCCAATAAGAACTGTATAGATGTGTGATGTGTGGGGAAAAAAGGGATAATATTAGAGAAAGACATGTTTTATTTTACAAGTGAAGTGATTGCACTGCACGTTGTGTGCAGGCTGGTTTTTTTATGTGGTAGAAATCTGCAAGGACCGAGGGGTGCCATCTAAGGACTGGATGCCACTGGAGGTGCCTAGAAAGGACATTCTCAATCTGAAGGCCACCTGTTCCCTTGGAGGGTGGTAGGATACAGCGATTTGCAATTTTTTTTTGGATTAACGTTTTCCTGAGATCTCAGGACGCTTTATGTTGTTACTTTTTTTTCCTTTTTTTGGGTCAGATCTGATTCCACTTAACAAAAAAGAAACTGGTGGGAAAAAAAGCAAACCAGTGACTAAAGACAATTAACACTTACTGAGAACACTGAACACTAAGTGCACTGAACTGAAATGGACAGCCTACCTAAACCATTTATGGACACTTTAAGTGATATACTGTACATTGTTGAGATTATTTAAATGTTTTGTTCATGTCTATGTTTTGGACCATCTAAATGTTGAATACACTCAAATCACTTTTCTTCCTTTAAGTTGTTGTCAGTGTCTCATTCTGAGTAGAGGGATGTTCTTTTTTTAAGTTGAGTTACCACTGCCAGTCTCCTTACGATCCTAAACTGAACCCAATGAGTAGATTCTCAAATATTGTTTTTTTCCTTGATTTTGTATGACAGATTACTGCGGATTCGACTGATTTTGGACTACTCAGTTAAAAAAGGGTGACATGTGCAACAACAGAGGTGAAGAAACTGGGATCATTACATTTGTATTTCATTTTTCATCAAATTTACTGAATATGTTTTTCATCTCCAGATGTTTCACTGTGATTGATGAATGTGTATTTTATGTGAAATTTTAAAAAATGTTTTTACGATACTTTTGATACTAAAATAAAAACAGAACCTGTTTTTATTGAAAGACAAAGTATTTTGTTTTGTTTTTGATGAAACATTGCGCAATATAAATAAAAAGGGTGAAATATGTCCAACTTACGTGATACAGTCAATGTGGTGATATCACTCCACTTTGTCCAGGAGGAGCTTCTTGTGCCCCGACAGCTGTATTCTCCAGCATCAGACTTAGTAGCACTGCTGATTGTGTATTCACTGGATGTCGGAGGTGTGTTTAACTTGTCTGGTCTCCATTCATACGTCCACTGAGCTCCATCACCTCCCTGAATCTCACATCTGACAGTGACTGTCTCACCGCTGTATATCACACCGCTGTATATCTGAGTCCCGGATGACAGCAGGATCACAGTGGGCTTAGGAGGAGCTGATCAAACAAAAATATATCATTAGCAATGATCCGGTTAGGAGAAGAGAAACATAAAAATTCATAACATTAGCATGACCACAAAAAAGATAGTGATTAGTACAAAAAAAAGATTCATTCGATAGATTTATGCACAGTCAGTAAATGAAGCTTGTTTTGATATATGATATGATACAAGGCCTTGGGAAATAGGGATGCTGATGGTGTCACAGCACCCTCTGGTGGAAATAAAATAAAATAAAATAAAATATCACATCAACAGAATTATAAAAATATAAAATCATTATAAATATCTGTCCTGGTTTTATTGCTGTTGTTTATGGTAATCATAATTTTGCTTCCTGATAAAAAATGTTGACTTGAAAATCAAGAATAACAAGTTTTGGTTTCATTAAGGACGCACTGAGCCTAATAATTATTAAATTGACACATTTAGTTTTCTAAGTACTGTTTTAAAAAGTGATTCGTAATTCTTAGAAAACCATTTTTAACTTGGAAACTCATCAGTTTCCTGAATAATGACTGAATCACTTTTAGTTGTGACTAAATTTGTGTTTCTTCTGCTTCCTCTGCAGGTGTAGATGCCTCCATCAGAGACAGAGATGGCACTCTTAGAGCTAAAAGAGATGATCTCATTTTCAGATGAGGTTTTTCTGAACTCATATTCTATGTCAGCAAAATCCTTCACATCACAGGTCAGCGTCACACTGCCCCCTGCTGGTGTGG